AGTTTTCACTCTGAATAACCCTATCCGTAGCTTTTTGTCAAGCAAAAGTTTCCCACACACACACACACATTCATGCAATACCAACTTCAGCCTTGTATTAATCTATTCAGTAATCGAAATGAACCTATATATGTCTGAAGTGAATAATAGACAAGCAGTTTGTTCGTGTTTACATGTTGTTCCAAAAAAAACGGTTTTAAATAATCGCCATTCATACATGTTCTGTAGCAACCACTATTTGAGTTTTTCCTGGAGCTGGCGTATGAACAGTATCCATTAAGCTTGCACTCGTAAGGCTTATCCTACAGTTGATTTACTCCGGGAACATCAATTCCTTCATTCCCGTTCCACCGAGGTGTACCCGGAACATTTGCAAATCTGTTGTGTTTATCCTCACCTTGTACAACTCTATTCAACAACATCTTTGATAACAATTCCCGGTATATTTTAGTGGTATTTTGCGTCCAGAAACGGAAATGTGATAGACAGGATACTCCATTTATTTATAACAAAGTTGATTCAAAGAGCGAATAGTTTATCAAAGACAGCCATCAGAATATCCATTGTCCATTGCAAACTATCGGTTTAATCTATGCCCGTAGTATATACTCCTGATTAGACATTGATAAAGATTTTTCAGATAAATCTTTCCCCAAACAATAGACATATCACGTTGGCGAATAAAATGCCTTCAATCAAATAGCAATTAAAGCTAGTCCGTGTTGAATGAATGGTGCGTTCAGCCCTGGTCAGTTTCCTTGGTACCAAAATAAATAGAAAACATACCTTTGCTCCATCTGCACAAATCAAAATCATCCATTAGAGAACAAAAACCTACTTCCACTCGTAAAGAGAACACTGAGCAGAAAGCGAAAGAGAGTCAGTTGGAACTGTATTGTGACAGGTTGATTGTTACTTGTGAAGAATTGCGAAGATACAAATCTTTGGTACTTCTTTTAAACAACTCAACATACATGACATCCCTATGTTACCTTTTGTTCGGTCAAATGAGATACGTTCCCACGTGTTTGGTCAGAAGCCAGCTGTTTGCATAAAGCTTCGGGTATTAGAAAAAATAGTTGAATTGGTCTGACAATCAGTTGGTTCTAAATTAGTAAGTTCACGAGATGTAGCACTTGTGTTCACACACCCAAACCCAAAAAACGTAAACTCTACAGCCCTGGTCCACCTACGTCTGTGATATACCAATCTCTCCCTCTCTCCTATTTCTTCGTGGGTGAAAAATGACAATGCAATTCGTGCATCTTATCTTCTGTTTTAAATATTCTCAGTTCAAGTCAGTAGCAGCTTCATGCATCTGGAGGGGTGAATGTTCAGCATCTATACACCATGTTTGTATATTCAAATTTACATAATGAAACTGAATGGAGTAGATATTATATTTGTCAATGAAGCAAACGATTGCGCGATTCAGTTAGAACTTTCTATTCGTCAATAAGTAGATTTGCTAAGTATGCCGAAACGGAACTACAATATGAAGATTTAAGTGCAAATAAAAGTTTAAGCATTGAGCGTGTGGACGATTTAGATAAACTTTTGGAAATTCGTTGTGCAATGGGTAATGAGTGTCTGAGAATATTCTGTCTATGACATAATCAGCGAGTTTATCCATGACGACGTCACTACACCTGGAGACGCGTTTCAGAGATTTTACTGGTTAATAAACGTCTGTCTTCAACATAACTGCGGAGCAATACAACCAGTGGGGGATTACGCATGCATTCACAAACCAATCACTCAACTCGTAAGGAACAGCAAATATTCTCAATCGGAGTGGAAAACATGAAAGATTTCTGACTTACAGAATCGGTTTGAACATGAAATGACCATGAGGAATTGCGTGATACTGTGACACCAAGGTATTTTACCAGTGTTGATTTCGGTACGGGTTCATGATTGGCATAGAGGGTGCGGATCCTATCTGTGAGGGCTGATTTTGGTAAGTCGACCAAGAGAGAAATCACAACATCCTGACATTTAGAGGCATTCAATGAGAGGGAACGGGACAAGGATCAAGTAACAAAGTCGTTTAGCTGGCTTAGAATTGCTGAAGCCTCCTCAGGGGTGCATGCTTTGCAACCTAAAACAAAGTCATCTGCATATTTACAGCCAATGATTGCAGGAGGAATGGGAAATTGTTTGATATAGATTGTATAGAAAAATGGGGAACATATTCCACCTTGCAGAACACTAGAAGGAATTGGGCGAGTGGAGTATTTTCTCACGTTGAGGCACATAAACTGTCAATTATTTGTGAAATAATCCCGGAGCACTCTGCCAACGTTTGGATTAACAACACTTTCGGTAATCACGTTGAGCAATACCGATCGATGAGACTACCGAAAGCGTTTTTGTAGTCTCAGAACACCATTCCTACGGTCTTAATTTTCTTATATAGTGCCAAAGTTATCGACTGAACAAGGTATGCAACGGCATCAAGTGTTGAGCGCGAAGAACGATACGCAAACTGATATATGTTGTCTTCAGCAGACTCAGCAAAAACCCACGGTAGCAAGCATCTATCATATAATTTGAGCATACCTGATGTACAGATAATGCATCGATATTTACCAGGTTCCTTTGATTGGAACGGGAGTTATCTGGACCAGTTTCCAAATGTGACGATTTTTTCCGCTTAGCAGACAGTCATTCAATATTTTACACAATGGGACTGAAAGAGTGTCCGCACATACATTGATTACCACGGGTAACAGTTCGTTCGGACCAGATGATTTATTCATCTTTGTTTTCAGTAGCTGTTGGAGGACCGTGGCCGGTTTGATAGTTGGTGTCGGCCTAGAGCTGACCAATTCTGACAGGACAATGCACTGTGAAAGTGAACTAACCTCGAAAAATTTATTCTTTCAACGTCTGAGATTTTGGTGCCTACCTGGCGGTATCAAACTGATAGTCTGATTTAAATTAATTTTGATCAATAGAGACAAAAATATTGTATATGCGTCAGTCGCGTCTTTCAACAGAGAACTAAATTGAGATAGATATCTTACACGATTGAATGATCCAGATTTCCGTTTATAAAGGTGGAATATAATCAGTGCAAACTACCAAGCTGAACATAGGAACGTTACCGGCGACGGGAGGGGGTTGTGGATAGAGTATAATTTTATAGGTATTTTAAGAACAACGACATGCGTTTGTTAGAAAACATAATTCTTGGTCCGAAACCAAATTTATCCAGTCATCATCGTTTCAGCTTGCAAGTAAGAGCAAATTTATCAACGCATTCTGTTCTGTTCAATTGCCCCATAGTATTTGCGAATAGTATTCATGCATTAGTGATCAACGCGGTGTAACGACATTTTTCACTACCACCAATCCAGACGTGGATGATACATATACCGCGGATGATAATTAGTCATGTATATATCAAACGAAGAATGAACCGAAAATCTGGGAAGCACAGAACAAGTGTTTCGACCTCGTTGGGTCTCGTCAGCAGTGCGAATCTAACAAACTAACTGGGGATCGACCCCGGGACCTCACAGGTAAAACGCAAGCATGCTACCCACTCGGCCACCAGGCGGCTGATCAGACCGTTTTTCATTTTCCCGTTTACACGATATAGCGCAACCCATCTTTGAGAGCTTATTGCGGGCGACAAACCTTACTGATTTCAACACTAGCCTCCGGGGCTAGGACTCGGTTGGGAACATTCACAACCTGACTACTTATTTCATGTGAGTACTGGAGGATCTGATTCATTTTCAGAGGTGAATTCGTCATGTATATGGCAAATGAAGCGTGAAGTGAAAAGCTAAGAAACACAGGACAGCTGTTTTGACCTGGTTGGGTCCCATCAAAAGTGTGATCCCCAGTTGGTTCCATGGAATCGTGCATTGCTGATGACATCCAACCAGGTCGAAACAAGTGTCCAGCGGTTCCTTAGCTTTTCAGTTCGCGCTTCATTTGTCATGTACACGACGAATTCACTAATGAAAATGACCTAAATCCTCTATTACTCACATTAAATCTTTTCTAATCGAATTTCCCCATTTGTTTCATCCATAAGCGAATTTTTGTGGACACCTGAACTCAAATTGTTTTCCCGCCATTTGTCATCTGTGTAATATAGCAAAAATGTTTTGAATTTTGTGTTGAACCCCGTGATCATTAACATAGTGATAATACCCCAAATTTACCAAGTAATAAACTTCATTTCACATGCCTTACGGTGCTTCTTCGTTTAAGGCCTTGGAGAGACGGAGAAGCTTAACTGCAATAAAGCATGTTGTTCAAGAACATCTCCATTTTCGACTGATGTCATGAGGTGAAACCAATAATGCGAGTTGCTCTTTTGAACCAAGTGTATATAAATATAGATGTCATTCTTGCTTCTTTGGCAACCTGGAGGTTAAGAAAACCTTTTAAAAATATAAAAATGCCAAGCAAATATAATTGTCAAAATAAGTTTCGTTCAAAATATTCAACCATTAACGTTGGCATACACTCTGTTAGCATTTAAAGGCACCTAGTCGAGCTATTCACCGTGGGGACCTCCGGCAACGTGAACCGTGACGCTGTCCAAAAACCACATCCGGTATGCAACTACGGTTTGTATCCGTGTGTTATCTGGTCCACCGTTGATATGTATCACGTGGTTCAAAGTTAAGTAGCCTACTTGACTTCATCATGCTGTGTTTGCTCACTCTGTAGTATTCAAGATGAAATATGTGGAACAGGTGATGAATTTGACTACTTTAGAATGTGAAATATAATTGTGATTTCGTTTTTTTACCCCATAACGAACCCTGGCATACTTATCGCACATCTACAATTGGAAATGAGGGGTCGATACTTTCAGACAGGCTTTGATTATAAGCACCATTCGACGAAAGCCTATGCGACCGTAACACTAGTGAAACAGTTGTGATGTCAGACACCATCGGCAGTTCACAGTCAAAGATGAACTGAATGGACACACAAACACATCCACACTTACATAATTCATACTATAAGTTTTATGCACTACTATCGATATCATAACGTGATACAATCTCCACACTTACTCCGAGATATTTGTAATGTTGATAAGTGGCAATATTGTCGTACAGAACCACGGTGTGATTCATTCCCCCACTGTGATAGCTGACCAGCACTTTCAAACAGGGGAATCGGGATCGGTCCTTGGAACACTTGTTTTCGCATTTCACGTTCTGTTTAATGATATCCGAATGCAAATATGTACAACTAGTGTGACTGAAGGCCGACTCGTGAATGTACGGTTGAACTACCAGATGGATGAGAATGCATTCGATGATAAAACTGGTCGTAATCACTGTGGCACATGTGAGATAGGTAATTTTCAAACAGCTGATCTGGCACGATTCGGGAATGGTCATGCACCAACCACTCGGTGTCATTGACACTGTGTTAGAAGGAGGGGGGCTGAAAGCCGAAGCACAGAGACTGATGCTTTCTAATGCACCGTGACGTGATGACTGATGCCTCCGACGTGCACTCTCACTCTCGGACTCGAGTGATAGTTGGGAAATCCGATCATGTATGTACAGAGATATGCGTATATGTTCACATAATCCTTGATTGTGTATGAGATCAACTGGCGATGCATGTATTGGTGAAATTCGGCTAATGGACTCAATTCACTTATTTGTGATGACGTGATGTAGATGGGAACCCGTTATTCCGTTTCCCGATCCTACTGCGGACCAATCGGAAGCGAGTCTACAATCATCCAATCACGTGTTTTTATTTGATCAAAACAGAAGACCAATCCGCTTTGAGAATCTACTGGTACTCTTTTTCTGATCAGAATGAGACGAACGAGCCATCAACCGAATGTCCAAAAGTTACCACAGATTTTCACTTTTCCATCTTTATTCCATAGCAGTTTATTCCGTTGCCTTGTGGTCACTTCTGACGGCATGTGATATTGTAGTGTTGGACGAGTTTGTAACCCCGCCCTCGCTTTTCGCAATCTCATTTTAAGGATATATTTACCAGTTCAAGGTCACAATGTGATTAACTGCTACATTGGCACTTGATATGAAGTATTAAACACACATCTCTAAGGTGTTAAATGCTTAAAACTTATTAGGTCTTCCATAACTGTCGCGTGAAATGATGAAAAACGCTTAGGTGAAATCTGAAATGCATTCATTTCAATTTCTATTAAATGCTATCAGAGCAAAATGTGATCTTAACTTCAGTGTATTCAAAACATTTCGGCCTCTCCACAGTGTTCGAAGTAGCAGACCAGAACCGATTAAAATTCGCATCCTAGCCACCGTAGAAGCTGTTGGAAGTCGTCTACATAATCCCCCCTTGTGCTCCCCAAAAACAATTTATGAAGTCATTCAACCTATCATGGCCCCTCTCTCCTCCAATTCTTCTACTCCGAAACCCTCCCAACCCCACCCCAAATCACACACAAGTTGCTCGGACCAAGCGCAAATTCCGATAATAGGATCAACCATATTTGGTTCTGTGAATCTGAGACAGAAAACAACAACAGTCTCCAGTTGACTAATCATTAATTTTGTTTTCTCCTTTCTATGCAAAAGGATCTTAGATAAAATGTGACATATCAGCCAGTTAATGAGTCACCAAAAATAAGCTTACTCGCTAAACTGCGTTTTCATTCAATTTACTCAAAGCCTTGACTACCTCAAATGATGCCATAACATCATTCGAAATGTTGTGTCGTCATTGCACATTTTGTTCATGGATTCAAAAATGGATTCGTTTAACTATTCATCGGTTTTCTTTGTGACTCCTTTTATATATTTTATATTCAGTCAGCTTCACACACCCCAGAGGTATCAAGTTGGGCATTGCCTCGATTGGAACATCTACCCACTGTCCGATTCAGGATCTAAAATCTGGTCCACTGGTACCGAAGGTGTCCGTTGCTAGTGGACTAGCCAGCTCACTCAAATTTTGAAACATTGCGTCCAGTTGTCGCCCAACGAACACAAACCGAATGTAACTTTTCAATGCACCGCTTTCTGTTGGCGACGTAAAACTTTATTTATTTATCATAATAAACACATGGAGAGACAACGACCACCAAGTGACGCTTACTGATTGAGTTCCGCACCTGGGGAAAGGTGCAGGGAGAGGTTACTGTTTAGTGTTACTGGGACAAAGAGACACGTGGTGTCAATCATTTTTGTGCACATACGAATCTGTACGAAAATATCTAAATCAACTTTTAGTGACGGGAAACCTCAGAAACCAAGTCCAAATTATCTAGAGCTGTATTCGACTCCAAACACAATTGCGAATAATAACGTATTGTAAATATGATGTACTACCGTTGCTCAAACAACACATTTCAGTTCGTGATGTTTTCCCGGGAGATGTCTCAACTGGCGGACTGAACAATGCCAATCGAGAACCAAGGTGCAAACCAGGGAGTTCACTATTCTGTCAGTCAAGCAGGCAATACTTGGGATAATGCCACTGTGCACATGGGTCATATGGATCAGTGTGACACATGGGTGAGGACCAATCCCAACAAGGTTAAGCAACCCGATACCATTATCAGAGGACAGGGTGAGTCAGACCATATCAGGAGCAAAGATAACGGTCACCAGGGTGGCGACTGGAGGGGGGGGGGAGATAAACGGGTTAGATGGGCTAGTAAAGAAAGGGAGTCATTCGTGGCGAACGAAAAGTGCATGTGTGATGATCGATAAAACGCTCTGGTCAAGACCATGACAACTTAGAGAGAGAGATGATGAAACAGGTTTCCGGGGGTCAAAACGTATGAAGGGTGGCAAACAAATTCAACAGGATTATGAACATTTGTGGATTACCGTTCGGTAATCTGAGATTGTAAAATCCACGGGATCTCACATGGTCGTTGGAGGCAAGTATCGCAGTTTTGACTGCGTCACTCAAACGCGTTAAGTGCCATCAATTTCATCAACCCCTGTAGGTATGTGTAATGGCATTAATTGAATCGCCTATTGATCTATTTTGCCTACATACAACTTATTGCAACTGCAAGTAGGATTGCGGACACAGGGTTGAGTGGGCATATCAGTAATACTTATACATCAATCAACAACGATTTTTCAGATAACATCTTCAATGGCAATCTCTCAGTTCGTTTGTACCCCTACCAAAGAACGGCAAAAGGTAATCCTCTGTTACCAGCCATCGTGCGACGAATCGCGTTCACCACACCGTTTTTACCAAACCCAAGACAAGTACCTTTATGTGGACATATCGTCTTTACACTAAAAATAAGTGCACTTTCCAGGACGAACAATTGGCCAATCAAAGGACTGTCATGCAATGGGGAAAATCAGGTGCTGGTGGTGGTAGTGGTGGTTGTGGGATTCGAACATACATCCTCGGGGGTGAAGTTACCATCAGGCCACTATCGCCCTAACAGTGGCGTAGCCAGAAACGAAAGTGGTCAAAACTGACTGCGTGCAGGGCCTTGTGGAGCACATAAATTTTAAACTGCACCTAAAATGCCTACAAACGCCATCCTCAAGTCACACGACCCCTGCTGTTCACGCTCCATCATTCACGGAACTCACTAAATTTGCCAACACCATCAGCGAAGAAACATTTTCATCTATTGCGTTCCACTGTCCACTGTCTGCTAAACACAAATGATCCTATCATATAGAATGAACATTTCTCAAAGTCAAAAAGTTCATCTTTTATATTTCACGTCTTCGGCATCTGAGGGTACTATTGTACATCATCACCAAATTTATTTTCGCATGCGTTTTATGCCACTGGACCAGCTGCTCTCCCGTTATCTTCCCCGGTCTACTGCCTAAGGACTCATATTAACTGGACGCTCTCTGAGAGGCATCTCTAGATATGGAGCTGTACCTTATGAGGAGCTGGTTGATTCCATTGTCAGCCAACACCTGAATGCGTGTGACCGTCTGTGCGACTCCATCTTGTCCGATGCGTCACATTCCTTACACGCAACCCTATCTAGCTCCATTTAAACTTCTGTCACCCGAAATAAATTAAAACCTTTATATACTCGTACCACTGCTTTTCACAACGCCGTTGTATCTTACTTTTCACATTTGTTGGTTTCTAGGGAACGAATATCAAACGAACGTATACACAGCCTAATGTAAATTTTCACGTTGAAATTTTCTTCATTTTTTTACGGGTTCTCGGTAACCTACTCATTATCATCTCAGTAACTATTTGTCATATCTTTAAGCTCATTGTTAATAGCGTGCAATGCCAAAGCAAAAGTGATGATAGTTCTTTTCTCTGGAAATTGTGTCCACACTGGATGAATAAAATGCACTCTTGACTTGATTTGACGTGATCCATCATGTTGTGTCTTCCATCTATCCACATGCTGCTCTTTTCGGCATTTACTCGCCGGTATCAATAATTATAAGAATTCCCCCGATCCTCGGTGGTCCGACTCCTAACCCATAAGAAACAAGTAGCAACGGAATACATTAGAATGTTTGGGCATGAAACGAACTCCAACAACATGCCTCACTTTATGAATGAATATGACCTTGTATATTTTATTCCGTTTGACGACCAGTGTACTTTTTTGACTGAAATACAAGCGTATACCAGTTAGACAAATACAAACAGTGTTGATAAATATTCTTCGCAAATACACAATTTCGGCTGGTTCTGAGAAATAAAAGAACTGGATTATCTAACAAAGAATGTCAGAAGTATTTCTCCCTTTCTACGGAAATGACTGACTTTCTTTACTGCGATTCGATCATCCGTAATCGTAAAGTTGAATCCAAATTCAAAAAGATTTTCCTCCAAACGACTGCCATAATCGATAATATAAATACTGTTCTCAGTCTGCGCTTGAGATAGCCCAATCAGCAAGACGGATAGAGCTTTATCTTTTGCATTTCGAATTTCAAACGACTGCGGTTTCACTTTTGAAGAAGGAATGCCAACGTGAAGCGCAATCAGAAAATGCAATAGATGAGCTTATTACTGCCTTGGTTTGTAAAACGTAAAACTCCTGTTCCAATTATTCATACCAATTTATATGTTTGTTGTTTTGGGGATTGGACCCGGGGATACGAATTCCAAACTGTTGAAAGTTAATTGCTCTCACGGACTCCGATTCACTGTAATATACAGTGATGATTTGAAAGGTTCAAACTTTACTCTAAGCTAACCGTGTCATTTCAAAGCTTTACCCTAGACTTTCATTCGCGGCTTAGTAAGGTGGATGGGGTGTGAACTTCAAGTGAAAAGGAGAAAAAGACGTAATCGATTTCATACTCTTTCGGGATTTAGCTAAATATGCAATGTACCTAGCTCAGCCTACACAATCGATCGTGAGCGTCATGTTGGTCTGCTCTAGAGCTTGACTTCCCTCTACCATTCGGGGTTACGTTGAAGAGCGAAGGTTGATGATTCT